TATTTTCTGACTTTCATTGATGATGCATCAAAGAAGTTGTGGGTGTATTTCCTGAAGACAAATGATGAGGTATTCCAATACTTTCAAGAGTTCCATGTGATGGTGGAAAGAGAGACCGAGAAGAAGTTGAAGTGTCTTCACACAGACAATGGTGGCGAGTACACTTCCAATACTTTTGAAGCATATTGTGCCAGCAGAGATAGCCGGTACGAGACAACAGTTTATGGCACCCTACAACACAATGGTGTGGCAAAGATGATAAACCACATTGTTGTGAAGAGATTCAAATGTATGCTCAGAATGGAAAAAGTCATTCTGGGCTGAAGCTGTTCGTACAGCCTGTTATCTTATCAACAGGTCGCCTTCAGTCCTGTTGACTTATACAATACCTGAGGAAGTCTGGTCCAGAAGGAATGTATCATATTCTCACTTGAGAGTCTTCAGGTGCAAGGCGTTTGCACACATCTCCAAGGAAAATAGATAGAAACTTGATGACAAGTCTATTCTATGCATATTTGTGGGCTATTCAGATGCAACATTTGGGTACAAATTGTGGGACCCAGTGAAGAGAAAAATGTTAAGGAGTAAAGATGTTGTGTTTCAAGTAGACTAGATCGTAGTAGATTTTGAAAAGTTTGCAAAGTCTAGAGTTGTTATCACTCCAAACTTGTTTCCATCTCTTGAACGATCAAAAAATGCTAAATATGATGAGGTGCAACCAGAAGTGCCAGAGTTGCAAGATCCTATGCCAAAAATTAAGGATCAAGAGGAAAGAGATGAAAAACCAGATGAAGAGGGTGTTGAGCAAAGGGAGCAACCCACTCCACCAGAGACAACTGGGCCTCAGTTGCGGAGATTAGAAAGAGTTGTTGTGCCATCAACCAAATATATCACTTCTCAGTATATTCTGATTACTGATGAAGGGGAGCCCGAAAGTTTTTCAGAAGCAAAGAGTCATTCAGAGAAAGACTGTTGAATGCAAGCAATGAAGGAGGAAATGAGTTCTTTGAAGAAGAACCACACTTATGAGCTTGTTCCACTTCCAAAAGGCAGGAAAGCTATGAAGAATAAATGGGTGTATAAGTTGAAGAAAGATAACAACGGTAAACTACTACAATATAAAGCTCGCTTGGTTGTCAAGGGTTTTGGGCAAAAGAAGGGAATTGACTTAATGAGATGATGAGATCTTCTCCCCAGTTGTGAAGATGACTTCCGTTTGAGTAGCTTTGGGATTAGCAGCTCGCTTGAATCTGGAGGTAGAACAGATGTATGTCAAGACTGACTTTCTCCATGGTGATTTGGAGGAAGAGATCTACATAGAGCAATCAAAAGGATTTGAAGTTAAAGGGAAAGAAAATTTGGTCTGCAGGTTAAAGAAGAGTCTTTACGGCCTCAAATAAGCGCCAAGACAGTGGTATAAGAAGTTTGATTCATTCATGTGGATCACTAGTACATGAGAACGGTAATAGGCTAATGTATATACTTCTGAAGGTTTTCTAATGGAAACTTCATTATCTTACTGTTGTATGTCTATGATATACTGATCATTGGACAAGATATTGCTATGATCAACAAGTTGAAAAAAAGACTTGTTGTAGTATTTTGACATGAAGAATTTAGGCCCAACACAACAGATTTTGGACATGAAGATTGTTCGTGACAGGAAACTTAAGAAGATATGTCTATCACAGAAGAAATATGTTGAACATGTGATTGAAAGGTTCAACATGAAGAATGCCAAGCCAGTTAGCACACCATTGGCCAACCATTTCAAGGTGACAAAGCGTTTGTGTCCCACGACCAGTTCTAAAAGGAAAGAAATGGAGGCAATTCTGTATTCTTCTGCAGTAGGAAGTTTGATGTATGCAATGGTGTGTACCCGGCCAGATATAGCTCACGCAGTTAGCGTTATGAGCCGATTCCTCGCCAATTAAGGAAAGGAGCATTGGGAGGCAGTCAAATGGATTCTTCGGTACTTGAAAGAAACTTTAAAGATGTGTCTATGTTTTGGGGGAGCTGAACCAAGGGTTTTACAGATGCCGATATGGTGGGTGATCTTGATGGTAGAAAGTGTACATCAGGATTTATGTTCACTTTTGCAGGGGGAGCTGTTTCATGGCAGTCCAAACTGCTAAAGTGTATTGCTTTATCTATAACAAAGGCAAAATACATTGTTGTCGTAGATGCCGGAAATGAAATGTTGTGGTTAAAGCGCTTTCTCCAAGAATTGGGTCTACAGCAGTAGGAGTACAAGGTACATTGTGATAGTCAGAATGCAATTGATCTGAGCAAGAATTCCATGTACCATTTCCATACAAGGCACATTAATGTCCGGTATCATTGGATACGAGAAGTGATTGAGAAACGACTGATAAAGCTGGTCAAGATTCACACAGATACGAATTCTTCTGGCATGATGACTATGGTTGTCACCAGAGACAAACTGGAACTTTGCAAGAATCTGACTGGGATGGACTTCAAGTGAGAAGTTAGTTATGCACACTGGTATGAATGGAGAGAATTGTTATGAATCCACACCATTGTGGAAGCTCCTGGAAGTCCAGATTGGAGGCTAACCAAAGCTAGAAGAAGCTGGTAGGAGTTGGAATGGAACCTTCAAGAGAGGTCAAGAATGGTGGCTGCCAACCAACCAGCTGTGAGAAGAGGCGGCAGCCAACCCAAGCTTTCACACCTCTTAGCTTTGTATATAAATAGAGAGGGAGAGGAAAGGGGGGTAGCTCATTTGTATCAGAAATGAGAGAGAGAGAGAGAGAGAGCTGTGAGTTGAGATTTCTCTTCCTCCATTGTTTGTGTTTTTACTCTGTTTTAGTGAAAAACTTAATTTCTGGTCCGTGGATATAGGCATTCTGCCAAACCACGTAAATTATGTGTTATGTGTGTGTGTGTGTGTGTGTGTGTGTATGTGTGTGTGTGTGAGAGAGAGAGAGAGATTGAGTTTTGGGTATCCCTAATTCTAACAGTTGTTATCATATGAATAACATTCTCTCTCTCTCTCTCTGTGTATACGAGAATTTGAATAGATAAAGATAAAAAATTGAACAAATAGAAAAAGTGCGCAGATAAATTTTTTCAATGGAGAAAAAATTGAACAGATAGAAAAAATTGAACAGGTACTTTTTTTGAATAGAAATTTTTTTTAAATAAATAGTTAAAAAAGTAAAGTAGATAATTTTAGGGATATTTACCAATAAATCCCATCTTACAAACAAATAATCCAGTTAGTCCCAAATTTTTTCTATCGATCTGTTAAGTCCTATTAGTGGAGAGTTTCTTTCCGTATGGTCCTATTTTTTTATTTTGGTAGTGTTTTGGTAGACAACTATACCCTTTTATTAATGTGATAAGTATGATGTGATACTTCAATGTGGCAAGTATGAATGTGATAGTCTAAAAAAAAATTAAAAACTCTTTAATATATTTTTCCTAAATATGACAACGTAGTGGATATGATGTGACACTTCAAAATTTTTATTCAAAAAAATAAAAATAAAAACTCCTTAGTTACTTTTTCCAAATGTGACAACGTGGCGGGTATGATGTGACATTCTAAAAAAAATTTAAAAACTCCTTAGTGTCCTTTTTTCAAATGTGACAACGTGACAGGTATGATGTGACACTTCAAAAAAAATCTCCTTAGTGTACTTTTCTCAAACGTGACAATGTGTGGTGGATATGATATGACACTCTAAAAAAAATGAAAAACTGTTTACTGCACTTTTCTCAAACGTGACAACGTGACAGGTATGATGTAACACTCTAAAAAAAATAAAAACCCCATAGTGTATTTTTTCCAAATGTGATAACGTGGCGGGTATGATGTGAGACTTCAAAAAAAAAAAAAAAATTCTTAATGTACTTTCCCCAAACGTGACAATGTGACGAGTATAATGTGATACTCTAAAAAAATTAAAAACTCTTTAGTATACTTTTTCCAAACGTGACATATAACACTCCAACGTGGTTGGTATGATGTAACATTCTAAAAAGATTTAAAAAAATTTAGTGTATTTTTTTCAAATATGGGGGTATAATGTGACACTAAAACTCTTTAATGTACTTTTTCTAAATGTGACACTCCAATGTAGCGGGTAAATTATACATCCAAAAGGATTAAATGCATCACAAGAAAAAATATGGGACTATATGGATTACAAGTCCAAAATATGAAACTTATTGGTCAATCTCTCATTAATTTTTTTAAATAGAAAAAAATCTAAATAGATAAAAAAAAATAATTAAATAGATGGTTAAAAAAGTTAAGTAGATAGATTAAGAGGTAAAATTGAAAACAAAATATCTTTCAAAATAATAAATGAACTTTTCACCAAATTATTCCGCAAAAAATAGACCTAATACCTTAGATTATTGTTAGATTGAACTTTGAAACAAAATTTTCTATTATTAAATCCCCTAATTTTACTCTATGTAATCCTCCACACGAGTATTAAACTTATCTAGACTTTAGTACCTTGCAATACAAACACGAAATTAGATTATCCAGTGAAACTCACATATTTCCTACTTTTAATCCCTTTCTCCTTGTTCCACAATTAAATACCGGATTAACAATCCAAGTGTCCACATGCGTCTTTCACATGTAATACCTTTTTGAATACCCCAATTAAACGTGCCCTACGAACATTGAATAATTTTTCTCATAAATGTCTCCCTTTCTAGTTTTTTTTTTTACAAAACTTGTATGATTGGTAATTTCTGTCTAATGCTTGAAGAATTAATATATATATATATATATATATATAATATTTTAAAATAGATATTATGTTATGAAAAATCGATGAAAAAAACAAAATTTCAATCAACATTCTGATTTTAACAGTTTTTCTTATGCTGCTAATCTTGTTGCAAATGAGAATTTTACTTTTTATTTTTTATTTTTTATTTTTATCAAGCTTAGTATTTATCCACCCTTTCTTCCCTTTTAACCTTAATTTTTTTCTTTAAACCTTAATTAATGGCAGGTATTGCGCAGCAATGAGTGTAATAGGTTTTGTATATTCAGGGCTTCAAGCATGCCATCTATGCTACGATTTGATAACTCAGAAACATGCTGCCAACTTTCACCATCTCCGTTGTTACTTTGATTTCGCAATGGATCAGGCAAGTTATTTGTTTTTCCTTATCTATCTATCCATATGACGTGTAGCTATCTATCTATCTATCTATCTATCTATCTATGCATACATATGTGAGCTAGGGGTGCTTAAGGACCCAGACGATCAGTCAAAACTTACCAACCCTACCCACTCCAAGTGGACAGATGCAAGTGGAGATTTTTTAAATTCACTTATGTTCGGATGGGTGGCGAATGGGAGGCCATCCGACCCAATCTGATCTGCCAACCCCCCTAAGAAAACGATGTTCTACTTTTATGTTTTGTATGTTAAAGAAATGGCTTTTATTAATAAAGTCCATCCACCAAATCGATCCACTTTCACCTGTCAACTCGCACGGCCCGCTCAATTCTCATCCGCTAACTAAGTAGATAGATATGAATTGATTTTTCCCAATCCATGTAAATTTTAACGAATGACAATCCGATCCACGAGCATCTCTAATGTGAGCAAGTATTTGTGTGTCATAATCTAGATCTAGTGGCGATTGGGTGTATATTAGAGGATGATCGAAATTCACCAATTTTGATCATCAAACTAACATAAAATATTATCAGTCGTATGATTTTACATACTATAATTGTCAGGGACAGACCCATGCATTGACAATGGGTGGCCATGCCTCCCTCCCCATGAAAACTCACTAGTATTATTATGCTCAAATATGACATATTTTGCAAATCAATAATGCTTGAGATCACTAAAAGTGGTGCTCTAAAAGCACCACTAGTGATGTGGCAGTGGACAGGGCCCACTGCTTGTGTCTTTTTTATTTTATTTTATTTTATTTAAAGTGCTTGCCAACTCATTAGTGGTACTTTAAGGTATTACTTTTAGTGGGATGTATCATTACCGTGGTATGTGACTCCTGATGTTAGATCAACTTATGTATCAATTCCCCTTAGCCATTCAAGAGCACCTCTATCTTATTTTTTATTGGCTAATCACTAACACTAACCAAGTTTAGAGACTCTCAAAATTTGTGCAAGGAAAGATGTATATTTTTCACTTTTATATATTGTATACAAATTTTATATATTATTGTAAAATGGTCGTCCAACCAAAACTCACTGTTTGTGTAGTGACTAACATATTTTTATTTAATTAAGTTATTTAAGGTATTTCAAAATTAATGAATGACTAGATTTAAAAATTTTCATTTCTTAACTTTTACTTGCTTATATTTTCAATAATAAGAACAATAATGTTACATTTATCATATTTTTATATCATATTATACTTAATTTGTTAACACAACATTAGTGTAATGGATCCAACCACTAATATATCTCTGATTGCCATGATGATAAATAGATTGATACATTAGATGATTAGATAAAATGATAAAATAGATGATCATGACAGTATTACTTTAATAAGAAATCTAATAATTTAAATACTTATACACTAAAAATATAGCGTATCGTATATCCTATTTGGCCCTCCTAACCAAAATCCTATTCCGTCACTGATAATTGTGAATATCTCACCATTCTTATTGGATGGGAGTCTGAAAGAGTCGAGGACAAACCCAACTTTTGACATTATTTGTATAAAATGACTACTCTCAAATTCAAAATCGATAAATTTAACCACTAAACCAGTAACCTCTTGTTATTTTATCTCTCGCACTCAATAAAATTATTTCCCTTGGCATTGAAACTGGCACTCCAAATGGTTTTGTTGTGCCTTTTGATATCTTTTTGAGTAATGCTAAATCTCAAAAATTCTATTAAAATTTTTATCAATTGTCTCACATGGATGTGAGATTTACACGGAATTCACATTGTGTGGGTTTTACACTCATGTGAAACATTTGATAGAATTTTTGGTGTCTAGCATTTTTGTATATTTTTTCAATAAGATTAAAACATTTCAATGAGCAGATGTATTTGTATTTCAATAAGAATATTGAATTGTTTTGTGTCAGACATGTCTTTTTATTCCCAATGTTGGGAGCAATTATTCCATGTTCAGTTAACATAGCAGGTGTCACTAAACAAAAAAATTATTGATTGGTCTAGGGGCGTGACGTGGCGGTACTCTTTACCAATTACAAATTATTATGTCATTTTATATTTTCCAATCACCCAATACAAAATCGTGAACCCATCTGTTTCACTAATCACAGCACCCTCAGGGCATCACATAGTAGTGCCCAAAACCAACCAATAACCTCTCCACTAAACGATTGTGATTAATGAATATAGTAGGATTTACTGTGTTATACATATGTACATATTTATGATGAGGAATCTAAGGCAGGGCTAAGATGGATCCACCACACAAATGTCATTTTCCTAAAGATAATATTTGCCACCACTAAATGGTGTGCATCGGGTTACTGGAGCCTTCAGGATATAATGAAGCTGATCAAAGGATCTTTTGTTTGCATCTGCACAAATAAAGACGGCTCACAATACCTTGATATAAAACAAAAGCCAGAACAATTAGGGTCTGATATTTTGTTTCTATGGAAAAACAAAAAGCTCTTGATTGAAAACTTGAAATCAAGAAAATCTCGGAATTTTGTTGGCTTTGAATGAATTGAATGGCCTAATTTCAAGCCTATTTATAGACCTGAATGCATCTGATTGGAAGAATCGTGATCATTGATTGCACTTGAACAAATCTAACCATTAGATCAAGTTCTGATGGTCTAGATCTTGTCTTACTTGAATAGATGTAATGATGAGACACACTCGATTGTGAGCTGATGCAATCTGCACTGCACGATCGTGCACTTGTATCATCAACGGCCACGATCTCACCGATCGGGATCGACATACAACCATTCAATTGGTTGCGCCACCTCATTGCCATGTGGTGCTAACTGTGTTCCACGTTAGTTCTACCACATGCTTACCTAGACCTTGCCATATTGTCACCACGTGGACATTCTTAACCCACCACATCACTTGCACTAAGCTTTTTGCAGCAAATAGGAAAGCACCTCACGCCAAGTGCAAAGTACACCATCGAACGCCACACAGCCCACGCCACACACGCACGTGTGCGTGTGCTTGTGCGAATGGTGTGAGGCACCATCCTTGTGTGTGTGAGCATGCACTGTATCATATTTTTCACAATTTCTTATTCAATGGAATATTCTGTGCGAGTGTGTTCTTAACTCTTCAATTTTCTATCATGTTTTCAATTGGGCCAACTTTTGACATTTTCGGGCCCAAAGTGAACTCCCGATGTTGGGCCTTTATCATATTTAAAATATATATATATATATATATATATTGTGATCAATCAAAAGATTATGTATTCTTTTTTTTTATTTGACAGTATTTACAAAAATGTTACTTTCATATATAATTATTAAAATTTTCTTAAAATAGAGTACATAAGAAAGTTCACAATAAAAAACGATCAAATAATTTGAGCTTAAGTACTAATAAAAAGTGAACAATTTATTTTAAATGTGTCATTTTTAATATAAATATTTTAAAATTATTTTATTTTATGGTTGTGTTGGTCAAAGTAAAGGGTTTTCTCGTCTTTTACTTTATGGCAGTGATGTTCGTCTTGAAGGAAAGGGTTTTTCGTCTTTTTGCAGGCAAAAGCAAGGGTAATATGGTCATTTTATATAAAATACTAACGTCGTTTGTGCAAAATAGACAGAATGGGGGAATCTTGACATTGTCAGGTAAAGTAGGAGAGGTTACTGTAATTATTCAAACCACAGGAGAGATCCCTGTATTTGTCAGAAACCTCAGGGGAGGTAAATGTAATTTACCCTTTTTTTTATTTGACAGTATTTACAAAAATGTTACTTCCATATATAATTATTAAAATTTACTTAAAATTGAGTATATAATTATTAAAAGTGAACAAATTGAACAAAATATTATTTGAACATCATTTTTTATATTTTTAACTACAAAATTGTTAATCAAGCTTGCATAATACAACTTATCAACTAAAATAATTTTCAGTGGATAAAATTGTTGATTCATTCAATGTTTTTGTGACATAGTTGATCGAAAGTAATATTTAATCAATTTTAATTCAAAAAATTTATTTTCCCACAAATAATTGTAATTGGTATAATTATTATTATTATTATTTTTGATCAACAAATGTTAATTGTTAGTTATTAGATTAGCACTTATGGAAGAAAATATTTTCACCCTTGGCAAAACACCTAAATGCTTATGCTCTCTTAATTCAACTCCCTTAAGGGGAATTGAACCCATGACCTCCCTAGGGATTAAGCCCTAAGGAAGACATAGTGGTCAACTAGGCTAAGCCTAGTTGATTAAAAGGGGTGCAACATAGGACTTGTCAGGGGGTCACCCATCCTAGTACTACTCTCGCCCAAGCACGCTTAACTGCGGAGTTCTGATGGAATCCAGTGTATTATTGCTGGTATGATCACACCCAGTATAGTAGTGTTGGTATAATTAATTGTATTATATACACAATCCATGCATTTAAGAAATAACCCTCTATTAATTCAAATAGCTCACAATGTCAATCGATTTTTTGATTCTTTTTTCGGGTAAAAACAATCATTCATTAGTTTTAAATAATTCACCACATCAACCATCTATCAGTTTTGAAGTTTCTCCGAATTTTATCGGGGCCTTTCAAATTCAGAAGGTTTTTTATTTTATTTTATAGACTAGTATTATAGCTAAAAAAATTCTGGGGCCTTTTTTTTACTCATTTTTCAAAGTCCCAAAGTAGCAGTTTGTCCACTTTGGGCCAAAGCCCTTCCTGTTTTCGATGTGGAACAAGCACAAAGCTAAAAGAGGTTTCCATAGAAAATATGGAAGGTTTTTGAAAATCTTACAAAATCAAATCCATTTTTTAAAAAAAAAAATCCTCAACAATGACCCACGTGAATAATTTTTCAAATGTTAGTGTCCAATAATGTTATTGAAGTTTTGAAATTAGGATGGTTAAAAAAAATGTTTTGATATTGATTTGGTGTTAACAATTAACTTCCTTCATATGCAGATTCTGGCATATCTTATGATCTCGGCATCGTCATCGGCGGCAACGAGGGTAGATGACTGGGTATCCAACTGGGGGAAAGACCAGTTCGCAAATATCGCTACTGCATCTATTGGGATGTCCTTTCTGGCTTTTGCTGCCTTTGCTATCAGCTCTCTCATATCTGGCTACAACTTCTGCCACCAAAGCGCCGCTGCTGCCTGATTGATCTCATCCCATCACCATCCCTTCCATACTTTCACTAGTTTTTAAGCGTTTACCTTGTTTATGCACATGAAACTACTCCCACTGTATTTAACTTATAAAAGAAAAAAAGAAAAAAAAATTTAAATATGCAATTTATATAAGGAACCATTTCTTTTCCCTCTTGCATATTGTTATTCAAAACGATAACATTTAAATATAGAATCGATGACAGAACTAATCACATAAAATAATTTTGATCATACATATGGAATGGTGGGTTTATCATAAAATATACAATTGTACTCAGATTGTGCCACCTATGTTTTATGTAGAGTTATTGGATTGAAAGAAGTGTCATCGTTTGCTCCAAAATTATAGCGGACTACTACTTGAATAGAAGGTTGAGATTAAATTCATGTACTAATCATTCATGTGAATCAGATTTGAACTGAAATTGATACTGCATTTCCTTTTTCTATAAGGAAAAAAAACACATTCATATCCCCCTTTTATTCATTTTGTTGTCGTTATGGTTATTACCAATCGTTTTTTAGGACAAATTTTAGCTAAATAGGACGCTCATTATTGTTACTTTATACCACATTTGATATATAAACCACAATCTTTGAATATTAATGAAGTTTATGTAATAAGACCTATTGCATTAGAGGTTGTGGATATACCACATGAGACTGTATACTAATTGTAATATAAGTCGATGGTCAATATATATATATATATATATTTTTGATAACGGGTGTTGGGTGAACTTACACACACTTTGACTAATTCCGGGAGACCTATCCCACAGTCCACTTGTAAAGAATTCATTTAAAGTCAAGATAAACGCTTGTATAGACATGATCCCAAGGTGCTTGTTACTATTAGTAGCTATTGAATTTGAGACGTAAAGGGAACACACTCCTAAACTCCAAGTTTTACTCACTAGACCAACCCTTAAGATTAAGCCGATGGTCAATATAGTATTATTGTCTCACACAGCATGCATTTTGATTAAGGTCAGATTTTAAGAGTGGAACCTTAATTGGTTAACTACAACCACTGTCAATTACTGGGCAGAACTGTTTAACAACATTTATCTCATGACTTGCTATTTTTAAAAAAGTAACTGGTAGGTGGAGAATATGTAAGGACACAAAAAAATTTATACGGTTTCCTCAATGTGAAGTGCGTTCACGGGTCCAATTCTACTATCAACCAAAAGTTTACAAATGAGATACAAATGTCTTACAATCATCCTTAGATGAATTTAAAATAATCACAAAATAATCAAGAAAAAATATCTCACTAAATTAATGAACAAATGTCTTCAAACAATCTGTGGAAGACCCAAACCAACCTGAACCGTAGCTGTCAAATGCCCCAAAGTAGTCCTTCGAAGCTGAACTGAAGCAGAGCTTCGAAGCAGAAGCAAAAGCAACAACAACAAAGCACATATAGACTTGGACTTGTCTTTAATATCCCAGCCAAATACACGCAACACTATTAGAATGAGGCCACCGAGAATATATCACCAGCAACAAGCATAAATAATTACAAAGGTGTATTTCAAGTCTTTTGGACTTTCAATGAGACAAAATAAGATTTCTACCACCAAATGGACCAATGTGAAAACAAGCATGCCAGCTGCCGACAAACATGATTTTAATACTCCATTAGATCTCTAAAAATCAGATATAAGAGCATCACCAGTGGAGGTGTTAACACTCCACTAGTGTCAGATGCTAAGTATTTGGCAGCTAAAATCAGTTTTGCTCATACAATGGAATAGCTAAACTGTTGGTGAAATTTAGTGTCAGACACTAACTAACTGCAGCGAGAAAGTTAGTGAGTAAGAGAGAGAGAGAGAGAGAGAGAGAGAGTGAGAGGGGGGGGGGGGGGGGGGGGGGGGGTGGGGGGGGGGGGGGGGGGGGGGGATTGTTCCAATCCCCTTTGTCTGGCAAGCTTGGTTGTTGCCCATCAGCACAACTCCTCCATCGAACTCTCGTAAGCTCGAGAACCACTGCTTGTTAGGACACATATGGAATGAACATCCGGAATCTATTATCCATTCATCCGACTGGCCATATGATGAAACTGTGAAGGCTCCTCCTTCATCATTATCTCCATCTCGTGCAATATTCACCTTCTCTTCTGTCTTGTCTTTATTTGGACAATCTTTTGCCCAATGTCCCTTCTCGTGACAAGCTGCACACTATCCCAGTCGCACCCACGCGCCTTCTCACGGGTCCAATTCTACTATCAATCAAAAGTTTACAAATGAGATACAAATGTATTACAATCAGCCTCAGATGAATTTAAAATAATCACAAAATAATCAAGAAAAAATATCTCAAAATAAATGAACAAATGTCTTCAAACAATCTGTGGAAGACCCAAACCAACCTGAACCGTAGCTGTCAAATGCCCCAAAGTAGTCCTTCGAAGCTGAACTGAAGCAGAGCTTCGAAGCAGAAGCAAAAGCAACAACAACAAAGCACATATAGACTTGGACTTGTCTTTAATATCCCAGCCAAATACACGCAACACTATTAGAATGAGGCCACCGAGAATATATCACCAGCAACAAGCATAAATAATTACAAAGGTGTATTTCAAGTCTTTTGGACTTTCAATGAGACAAAATAAGATTTCTACCACCAAATGGACCAATGTGAAAACAAGCATGCCAGCTGCCGACAAACATGATTTTAATACTCCATTAGATCTCTAAAAATCAGATATAAGAGCATCACCAGTGGAGGTGTTAACACTCCACTAGTGTCAGATGCTGAATATTTGGCAGCTAAAATCAGTTTTGCTCATACAATGGAATAGCTAAACTGTTGGTGAAATTTAGGCCTAGTTTGGGATTTACTATATAATCCATCTTTTTATCTTTTTATCTTTTTTCCATCACATCACCTCTCTACTTTTCTGCACATCTTTTCGTAAAAAGACAAAAAGTGCATTTTTTTAAGACACCCTAAACCAAGACACTAACTAACTGCAGCGAGAAAGTTAGTGAGTAAGAGAGAGAGAGAGAGAGAGAGAGAGAGAGAGAGGGGGGCGGGGGTGGGGAATGAATAAAATATTCAAATAACAAATTTTGTCCTTACAGTTGGAGAAGAGAGAGAGATAGGAGAAGAGAGGAGAAAAAAAAAAAAGAAACAATAACAAAATGAAAAAAAGTTGTACTTTAATTATTATTTTTATATATAATATATATACATTACTTAACATATATCTTAACATATCTATTGTACCGCTACTCATTTTTTAAATTAACAAATTCTGAACATACATTTTTGAGATCCACTTTTTGTCATATAACATACACTTTAACAGACAAATTTAACCACTCCATTATAGATATACAAAATATACATTATAACTAACATCAAACTAAATTAAGGAGGTGTACTCAACAATTCCCCCTTACCAACTTAGATGGAGACATCATGTTGAGAAAAAATGGTTTTATGGTGATTTTAATGTGAAATTAAAGTAGCTCACAACGTCCGGTTGAGGTGGGATCAAATGGATTTAGATTCTTTGTAACAAGATCTTTACACCACAAAAAGAATGACCAAAAATCATTGAAAATTAAATGATAAATTGTCTTATAAAGTTGGCCTCATAAATGAGATATTGGGAATAATGTATAACCATCTATTCTACACTGATTGTTGAGGAAAGCATTGATTTGTATTTAAATTCCAAGTTTTGGATAAGGACATGAGCCCTTTGGAGCATCAAAATTTTCCGAAGGAATGGAATTATAGATGCTTCTAGAATGCACTTAAGCCAAAACTATAAACTTAGTTGGTTATGCAAAAACTGTCACACGTCTGCCCGAACCGGTCCAGGTCAGGATCTGTAGATCTTGGATCTTGGGACTTAGGCTTGAGGCTTGTTGGAATGTATGAGGTTTGGGTTGAGTCAGATTAGTGGCCCATCGACCTAATTTTTTTGGGCTAAGTTTATTTGATAGTTGCAGATATACACACATGTGTATATTGTGTGTAACCTCTACGTTTAAGATAGGGTTTATGTCCCATCAGTTTTGGTGTATTACTCTATCAGTTTTGCAAGAGTAATTGGGCACTTTTGGCTGCACTTGTTACCAGCCTTCATGGCTAGAAGGCTTTTCCTCTCTCCTCCATTGTGTATAAATGGAGAGCTTTCTCTTTGGTTTTAGGTACAGAATTTTTTTGCTTTCAAAGTATACAGTCAGTCTGCTTCTATAATCTTCTTCCTGCGTGAGAGAGTGCTGCTGTTGTTAGTTTCCCGAAGCTAAACAACATGTGCTTTTGCGTTAACGGGTTCTAACTGTCATATATAATCTTCTTCCTGTGTGAGAGAGTGCTGCTGTTGTCAGTTTGCCGAAGCTAAACAACATGTGCTTTTGCGTTAACGGGTTCTAACCGTTGTATCCTGAGAAACAGAAGCCAACATACCTCCAACACCCACAGTGAGGCGACAAATCTGTTTAAGAAGATTGTGATATCATACAAGTTTCGGTTTGCATTCTTTTCTTGTTTTTATCTTGTTATGTATTTCTATTCATCTACTTGTAATTTCCAGCATGATTGTTTGTTCTGCATTTTTCAATTTAATTAAATATGAATCTGTTTATTTTATTTAAATATACAATTTGTACAATAATCTTAAAACAGATTCTATGTTTCTCATGAAATTAAACACACAAATTCATATCCAATTTGTAATAGATTAAATATATTCAGTACTGTTGGAAAGGGTGTATGTGTACAGTCACTGTTCACGATCACAAATTCTAATTTGTGACTTCTGTTGCTACAGTTTTCAGACTCAACCAGTAGGAAAAATGTTAGCCTATGATTTATTTAAGTAAATAAATATCTTTCTCGCCATGTTTGCTTTCCAGTATGTTTTCTGCATGTTTATTTGTATCGGAAAAATATTTGTTTTATTTACATGTTGTACATGATTAGGAATTTACATTTATTTGAATAAATATATGTCTCATAGTGTTTGGTTCTAGTCATAGTTGAATAATTTTATCAGCATGATTCTTAATTTCCTATCATGATTTGCATACTTCTTTATTTTATAGTATTATAATATAATTTGTATGCTCTTGAGTCTTTAGTTTTTAGTTAAAATTGACATGCTAATTATATTCTACTTTTTTA